CAGGAGAGACCCCTCTGAGGAGCAGACCTGAATGGAGGAAGCCCTGCATCTGCCTGAGCAAGGGTGGGACAGGCTAAGGCAACAACAGCCCCGAACTTTCCGGTACCTTAGGAACAGGAGTTTGTTCCAAATGTGTATCCCCAGACTCCACTTCCAGAGATCCAAGAAGTCTGGGTACTGGCTGTGTTTTCTAGGAGTTGATTAAAGTGCCTCACCAACCCCACTCTGAAAACGGGAGCAAGTGGGTAGCGGGGATCGTGCGCCCTGATGTAGACATCTGAGGGGAAATGCTCTCACCCTTGTTGAGCGCAGGGTTATAGCTCGGCCGGCAACTTCCTTCCCTTATTGGGCAGCCTGTTGGACCCAGAGCTCAGCCTCCCAGGGGGTCCAAGTAATGGGATTCAGTAACACCTTCTGTTGCTAGACTGTGAGCCGGGACCATAATAAAATGTTGTTGGAGAATTAAAATGTTTGTAAACGTCTCTTATCAAATGCTATGTGTTATACATATTTACTCAAAAAATACGCATCCAGTGCTTACCATGGGCTGGCACTTTGGGCTTGATTGACTTGCTCTCCATGGCAGCTCTGTGAAATGGCTGACATTCCTATTTTACAGGTGAGAAAACTGAGGCTCAGAGAAGTCATGTGACCGGCCCCAAAAGGTGTCATGGTCTGGACTCAAACGCATGATTTTTGGCTTTGCATGACCCAGCTGGTATGGTAAAAAGGGCCGTGTTTAAACATCTCTGATCTCACTTTGTAGATGGAGTTTAAAGAATCAGCAAAATACTTCCCCATTTTTCTTTCCCTGTTGAAATCCTGTTCAACATTCGAGGTCCAACCCAAATGCCATGGAGCTTTGCCAGGGCTGCCCAGACCCGACCCATCACTCTTTCTCCTGGGTTCCTCCAAGTCGCTTGTGTCTCTAACCCTCACATCATCCTGATGTGAGTCACAATTACATTGTACATTTTGCCTTCCCCACTTGGGTCTTGCTGGCCTCTCTGATCACACAGTCCAGGGAAAGTAAGAGGTGCGCCTCAGTGTTGAATAAAATGAATTCAGCTGTCAGCTCCCACCGGTACCTGATCCCAAACTCATCTCTTAACACCCTTTAGGCCATGGCCCCTGCAGGGTGAGGAGACCAGGAATTGCCTGGCCCGATGAGAACGGAAGGCACCCAGTGACCTGCGGGGGCTGGGTGACAGTGGTAGTGTCGGGAACTCTAAGACTCACGTGCATCCTCCCAAGTTGATGGTCACTGGGGTGGATTTCTTGCCTCCTGGGCCACGGGTGAAGGTTGGTAGGGCCCCATCCCCACTTCAGGTGTTGGGTTTTCTCTTGGTCACCGAGTGCCACCGAGTGCTAGTGTTCCCACGGGTAACAGCTAGGTAGGTCCTTGACAGTACTTAGGACAAGAGGACAAACGAGGGTGGGAATTCAGCAGGGATGTGGGGGCTCCTGGAAAGGTGTCCCCATGCCGGGTGGGGGTGGGGGGGCTTGTTGGCCAGGATTCAGTGATGCCTCCCCTGTCCACCTCTCAATTACGGAATTTTTCCATCCCAAGTCATCCACCAGACTTATGATAAGCCCGGTTGTGTGTACGTTTCTTCTTTCCATGTGGAAAAACTCAGCTATTCCAGGTGGATTTGTCAGCAGCTTCTCCCCCTCAGCCAGAGGGGAGGCTCCAAGCCACAGCCACTCACATTCCAGCACTAAGCCTGCGTGGGGCCCATCACTGTGGCAGGAAGCCAGGGACCGGGACTGGGACAGACCAGTACGAGCACTGTGGCCTGGGTGGCCTTCCAGGCTAGCCCTGCTCTCACCACAGTACCCCTATGCCCACACACGCCCCACCCCATTCCTTCTGGGTCTCTATCTTGTTCCCCTCATTTCTGTCCCCTCCCTCCCATCCTCCTCCTCCTTTTCCCTCTCCATCTCTTTATCACGCCATTCCTCTCCGTCCTCCCTCCCACCCCCTCTCCTGTCCTCATTCCCATCTCTCATCTCCCACCCACCCACCCACCACACACACAGGCCATGTCTCTCTGCAAAAGGGCAGGGAAAGGACCCAACTGCTTGAAGGAGCTCCCAAGGGAAATAATCAGAAGTAGCCTTGGATTATTTCCCTTGGAAGCTCCTTCAAGCAGTTGAGGCCTCGGCGCTCCCCCCCCCGCCCCCCGCCACTGGCGCCACTTGCCTAAAGGTTCTCTGCAAGGAAAAGGGAAAAGAAGCCGGGAATGCCATCCTGGGCAAAATCCCGGAGGCAGCTCGGAAGTGAACCCCGAAGGGCTCCTTGTGGAAACCCTCTGAGGCTCCCCCGCTGAAGTGAGACAGCCCCGTGACAGCAAATGGTAGGGTGCGGTGGGAGAGCAGTCGGGCCCTTGTGGGGGTCTCTGCTGTCCCCTAGCCTGGCTCCCCTGGCCTCAGCGGTCAGCTGGGGATGGAGGTCGGGCGGGGGGGGGTTTAGTCAGGCGTCTACTGCCTCCTGCCCTTTGCGGGGGCCATTCACGTGTCCTCTGCAGGGTGTTTGCAAACTCTGCCTCAGGGTTCTCCAGCATTAGCTTGTGTGAGAATCACCGGGTAGCTCATCAACAATGCGGGTTCCTGGGCCACACCCCAGGCTGCCTGGAATCCTGTGGGTGGGTCCCAGAAGCTCTGTTTTGAACCAGGACAGCCTCTAAAGAGGACACCGAGGAGCTCCTGAGAGAGACTGCCCGCGGCACTAGGGCATGGAGGGAGGTACCAGGTGGCCTGCCCTTCTCGCGTGGGGAGCTGGGACGCGCCCCTATGTCCTCCTAGAGAGGCCCATTTTTAACAGGCCCAGCCTGTTTTAAGAGGATGCTCCCCGTGAATCTGAATGCCATGTGGGTCCTTCCCAGACCTTTGTGACAGAACTGAGCCACTGCCTGGCCCGGCCCAGTGAGACAAGAGAATCTGTTTCTTGACCTTCCCCTGCTCAGGGGCCTCACAGCCAAGTGAGGTCAGGGGAGGCAGGGTGTGCAGACAACTCCCATGGTGTTTCAGGCCCCGTGTGGAAATACCTGACTTATTCCTACGGGTCCCTTGGACAGCCATCACCGCCATTTCACAGCCCAGGAGACCGACACGCAGTGTTTCAACACACCCTCCACTGAAGAGTCCTGTCTTTAAAATCCTAGTTGGACTTGACATCAACCTGCACCTGTGGTTCCCTGAGACAAAGCTCGAGTTCTTTATCATGGCCCACAAGGACCTTTTGGGTCTGGCTTCTCCCTTTCCTCAACACCAACTTCCCACTGAGCTTCCTCTCAGGGACGCACATACCTACAGTTCCTTCCACACCACGGTCTGTGCTGTTCCCACTGCCAGGAATGCCTGCCGTGCCTTCTTTGCTAGGTAATTCCGCTCACCTGCGGAGGCCACACCCCGGAGCCCACACGTCCCCAAGTCCTTCCCTGACACCCTCCCAGGCTGACCTCAGCACAGCGCCGTGAGACAGGGAGGTCACACTGCCGTTGAGCCGTGCGTCGCTGGCCCGGCCCTTTCCTCATGACACTGAACTGCCCCCCTCCCGCCTCCCAGTGAGCTCCTCAGGGGCAGGCAAGCCATGGCGGTCACCTGTGTGGTTCGGCCACCAGTAACGGCGCCTGGCACCCCGTGGGTGCTCAGGTCAAGTCTGCGGAGCTGAGTGCACCACGGGCCTTGGTCCACTTCCTCACTCCCTACTGACAGAGAATCAGAGCCTCTGCAGAAGTTGAAATGGGGGTAGGCATCCACGACAGCGCCTCTGCCGAAGCCTTCGAGTTCTCTCTGCTGGGCTTTCCTTGTGAGCTCACAGAACCTGGATCCTGTCATCCCCCAAAAATCTGTGCTTGGCTCTCAGGGATCCCAGGCTCTTTTGCTGAGCCCCACCAAGCATGTGTGAGCCAGAGGCAACCACAGCTGCCAGGGAAAATCCATCCTGGGATGTCCCTGTGGGGACTCTGATGAGCTAGAAGGGTCAGCCCCAGCTTCACACAGGCAAAGAAGGCCCGAGGTTGCCCAGGGCCCAGGGGCACAAGGTAGCAGCTGGCTCCAGGGGCCCCAGAATTGGAACCCACTGGGCTTAAATGACCCCATGGAGACACACACACACACACACACACACACACACACACACACACACAAACCCCAAATGGCATACATAAAGCCGCTTAGGCTCAGTGCTAGCAACCCCTGCCCCAGCAACCCTCTCCTGGGTCTTTAGAGGATGCTGGTCTTTTCCATAGAGAAGCAGCAGGTAGGGCATCAGAGTCGAGCACCTCACTTCTGGGTCATGAGGCAGTGCAGCCTCTGAGGACATGGAGGCTTCAAGAAGATGGGCAGGAAAGGTTTCTAGGGTTATCTAGAGTCAAGCATAATGTTGTTTTCATGCTTCGGTGCACAAATGGGGCTTCCCAGCTCCCTCCCTCCCCTAAGAGGGCTACTTCACTGCATTCTCCAGGCCAGGTGGGGAGCGTAGCGTGGTTAAGGGGAGACTGGATGGAGTTCAGGGGAAAGACAAGTCTGTCTGAATCTGAATGTCCAGGCACCATTCTAGCTTCTAGGCAAAATGAGGGGACACTCAAAATGACCCACAATAGTGCTCATGCTCAGTATTTAGGACACAGCCTAGGTTTTGAAGAGTGGCGGGGTGGGGGAAGGGCCGGCTGGGGGAAAGGAGTAAGCACTTCAATGGTGGATTGAAGGGGGGAGAAAAGAGAGATCTCCTTTCTCCCCCAATCCCAGGCCCCCTAGACAGTCCCCCAAATGGCTGGGGGCAGGAGAAGGAATGGGAAGACAAGCCCTCCCAGCAGGATCTTCCCCGAAATTAGGACCCATTTAGGGGAAAGGCAGGGATCAGGAAGTGACCGGTCCCTCCTGCATTTCCCAATCCTGTCCTCACAGATCCCCACCCAGCGCTTGCTGGGAGGCCAAGTGCACTCTGCCAAGAGCCCTCCCCTGCCTCACAGACACAGCCCAGTGAGAGCCACTCAGAAGTAGAAAAGAAGGCCACATTTATTCCCCTTCTCAAAGGTGCAGGCCTCTTATCTGGACCTGTAGGCCTGTGCTCACGGCTGAACGCGGCTGTGTCTCCCAGGGCCCGGTCAGGCCTCAGGGAGAGAGGAAGGTGAGGGTGCCCGAGGCCCTAGCACCTGGCCTGGACCCCCCATTCTCTCCTCCCAGGCTCTGCCAGACCCAGAGTAGAGGGAGAGTCAGGCTCTGTCCTGCCTGGGGCAGAGAGCGGGAACCTTCAGAAGTCACAGGAGAGGGCAGGGCTGTATGTTCAACATAAAACCCCTTAAGATGAGGGAAGACTGAAATGAGGCCTTTTGACCCAGCATCCTAGGGAAACCCCCAGAGGCCTCCCCTTCTGTTCCCTGAGAAGCGAACCCCTATAGCCCAGAGGAGGTGGGCAGGCAGGCCGATGGGAGCCTCTTCTCCCTGCGGCCTGCCAGAGGTGACCTGAGCCTGCACGAGGCGCCAAGGTCAGCCCAGGCAGGGGTCCTGACAGAGCACCTGCCGCCCCAAACCCTGCCATTGCTGCTTTGGGCAGAGAGGCAGTGGAAGGTAATGCTGGTGACGTCTCCCAGCTGTCGGCCAGGAGGGAGGTAGGCTGATGAGAAGGGACCAGACGTGATCCCTTGGTAGGCCCCATACTGCAGGCAGGAGAGCAGTGTTCGGATGATTCTAATGCTTCAGGATGGCGGGCGGCCCAGAGCTCAGAGATCAGGAGTCAGGAGCCGACGGGGGCCGACTTAACCTGTAAGGAAAGGTGCAGATTAGCTTCTCCCATGCAGGAGAGAAGCCCGAGGGCCGTGTCAGGACCCAGCACACTCAGCTGTGGGGAGCACCGAGCCATTCAAGTCTTCAGCTATCCCCTCATCAAGTCTTTGACCCCCGACTACACATTAGAATCCCCTGGGGGGAGGTTTATAAAATCCCCCACCCCTGTCAGCACCGGAGTCTCTGGAGGCAAAGGCTGGGGCTGCACTCTTAGAAGTTCCCCTGGTGAATCCGGGGCAGCCAAAAGGTCAAGAGGAGGGAACAGGAATTCAGATGGCTTCTGCAGGCTCTTTGGCTACCGCTCTGAATAAGGAAGTAAAAATTCACTAAAATAAAGTTTTGAGCTATCTGTAAATAGATTCTGTATCACAGCGAGAAAAATTTATGGCACTAAAATTAGAACTTCCTGCCCCTGAGGGCTGTTTTGGAAAGAATCTCCTCCTTGAGGGTATTTAAGAAGCTGGGACCTGGAGGGGATGCCCCCCTCAGCCCAAGGACACTCCCCAACTCTGGGGACAACCACAGGCTCTGCTCCCAGCACCCCAGCTCGTAATCCCAATTCCAGGTTCCAGACTGGCCTGGCCTCCGAGGAACACTTAGCATTTAGTGAGCCCCTCCCTCTGTGCCCCCTCCCCTCCCCAGCACATGGCCTATCTCATCCCAGTTCACCCTTAGCTCCCACCAGGAGCTTGGGATCATTTTTCCTATTTCAGAGGGGAGGAAACTGAGGCCCAGAGCTGAGAAAAACCTCCCAGGGTCATGCAGTCAGGAGTCAAACCCTACGGGAGTCTGCAGATTCCTTCCATTGTGCCACTGGTCCTCCCGTGGGGAGGTGACAGACACAGGGCAGTGGGGAAGCTGTTGGGGGGATATGGGCACACGCACCCCAAGTATGTATGTATGAAACAGGCCATGGAGCTTCAGGGCAAGGACCATCCCCGACACTGAGATCATGTCCTTCCTTCTCTTTGGGGTTAGAAAACGTGCTTTGTAAAGCACGACTACTAGATGGCAGGATTTTCCCTTTCAAATCTGCTTCCTTATATGAGAAGTCGGTCCCTCTGTTACTCCCCAGCTTGCTTTTGTGAGTTTTACTGGCGCAAAAAAATCCCAAAGTCTGAGTGCTGAGGCACGCTCCCTGTGCCCTCTCCAGGACCCCTCGTTCCCCCGAGGAGGGGAGTCTAACTGGGGTGTAATGCAGAGTCGGGGAGGCTGGGCCTGCAGCTGGGCCGCCCTGGGAGCCTGGGCGTGAGGCCGGAGCCCAGCAAGGCCAGAGAAACCCAGGCCTCGGGCAGTCAGGCCAAGCTCGGTGCTGCAGTTTCCCCGCATGTGACACAGAGATGAAGAGCAGCAGTCCGTGGACGGGGGCCAAGGGGGCAGGAGTGGGTCTGGGGGAGGCATGGGGCAGAGTCCGCATTCACGGGGAGCAGGACGTGGCCATAGCTCCATGTGCCCCCAAGCCCCCCTTTCGGACTGCCCTGAGGCTCACATCCTCACAAGGATGGCGACCGGCCTGCGGACAAGGCCAGAGCTCTGAAAGGACTGTCATCAGCCCGCCACACACGCAGTGGGAGCTCCTCACCCTTCAATGACGTGATTGTTGTCCTGAAGGTCAAAGGCCAGCAGCTTCATCTCCTCACAGAGCTCCTGCATCCTGTGCGGGGCAGAGGCAAGAGAGGTGTCTGTGGCTGAGGTCGACGTCGTCCCACTACCCCCTTCCCCGAGAAGCCCGCCACCCTGACTCTTTATTCCGGGGCCTGAGGCAGAACCCCTCGGGCTCTAACATCTGCACCCTACACCCCCTCTCCCACCACTCCCTCCCACCCCACCCCCCCACACGCCCCTCTCTCCAGCACTTACTGGAGAACCAGGTCTGTCAGTGCAGGGCTGGGATAGGGGGCTGTCAGGGGTGGGGAGACCTGAGCCTCCCTTGTTCTGTCCTGAAGGAGCTGGTGAGATACCTGGTCAAGGATCTGAAGGGAAGCCACACGTTAGTCAGGCGGAATGGGCCACAGATGTGTTTTTTTGTGTTTTTTTTGCAAGAGAGGTATGAGTAAGGATAAGAAAAACATAACAAAATGGCGCCCAGCCTGCATCCCTGGAGAACCCAGAATGCCGGAGGCTTTCCCGCAGGCCCTTCCTTCCCACGTGAGCACAGCTGACACAGCCACCCTCACTTGTCTGTGCTTGGATTTAATGGTCCAGACAGCCATGTTCTCCTCTGGATCTAACCTGCACCTTGATGGCTCAGCACGAGCCAGGAGCTAGGGGAAGGGGCAGCCAGCCAGCCTCTTGAGGAATGGGGCTGCTGCGGGGGCTGCGGGCCAGGGACCTGAGCAGCCTTCTCAGAGCTCCCCGTGTTGGTCTCTTCCCAGAGACCAGACCAGAAGACAGAGGAGGGTTCACACTGCCTCTCTGGAACCTCCCCGGCTACACGAGGCATGAGGACAATGTCCCAGCATTCTGGAAGCTGTGTCCTCACAGTGACCCACAGTCTGAGGTCACCAGGAAGTGCACATTTGCTTGTCAGAGACCTCCTTAGCCACAGTGTGCGTGGACTTGGCCAAGGGCAGGCCTGCCCAGAGGCAGGAAACAGCCCCATGTCCCCAGGGCGCCAGACCAACCTGGCTCCTCTTAGCAGCGCCCATGCCCCTGACCATCGCACACCTTGCTGAGGCTCTCCTGGGCTCCCTGGGCTTCTGTGTTATAGGCAGCCACAGAACAGCCGACCATGCGCAAATGGTTCCTGGTCTCGTGCACCTCCCTGGAGAGAGCAGATAAAAAGTCCGAGCTGGGTTTGCTGGCTCTTCCTGTGGCCCCTCCAGCTGTCAAGGTCACCACACAGACATGGGGGAGAGCAGGAGCTGAGAGGTTCTGAGAATGCGCTTCCCTCACTGTCTCTGTCCCCCCAGGTATGCCCGCAACCCTCCCCTGTCCCACTGGGGGAAGACCGATGGCACTTCTGACCAAGGCCGCCGATGGTCCCATCAGAACGACGGGGAGCAAAACCACACATGGCTGGGGCCCAGCACACATGCCGCTGAGGGGGAGCGCAGGGTCAGGTTCAGCTCCTGAGAGGCAGAGGACAGCCCAGCCAGCGCACTTGCTCTGGGAACTGCCCCATTGCCAGAGCAGAGCAAGGTCAGGACTCTTCTAGAAATTCTCTTTTTCTCTGAGTGGAGGGAGGGGGCAGGAGCATGTCTCCATTGCACAACAAGGAAACCAATCCAAGCACAGACAAGCGCGTGGTCGATTCTCTTTGCGACCTGCACAGTAGAATGACCTGGAGGTGCTTTTAAAATGCTGATATGCAAGCCTGACTTCAGACCAATTAAATCAGAATTTGGGGCAGGTGAGGAGTGGAGAAGCCGTATTCTAATGTGAGGGTGGGTGAGTGCCTGGGTCGCAGCCCCATAATGAGCCCACGGGTTATACAGGCCTGAGAACCTGCCTTCTTTTCTCGGGAGGGGCCGATGTTCCCACAGACAGAGGAAGCGGGGAGGGGCTCAGGTGAGAAGGAAACACCCAAATCCCCTCCAGGGGACAGTGTGAGTGGGTTCTATTTGACCCTGCATCCCCGACCATCGGAAATCTGTAAGCCTGCCTGGCCTCATTCCAGAGGGATCCTGTGTTCTCCCCGAGAAGGGGTTTCCCAGCACACCCACCGGGGAATGCGGGAAGAACTCAGATTTTAGAGACAGAACCAGTACTAGTCGTGGGTCTGCTACTTACTAGCTGTGTAGCACCAAGAATGAGACCCATGTTCTGAGCCTCAGTTTCCTCATCTGCAATGGGGGCTGATAGTGTCTACTGCGTGGGGTCCACATTGTGGGGTTAAAGAAGCTAATGTTCGGAAATCACCCCCGTGCACAAAACCACCCTTTTTTTTTTCCTTTGTTCCTTTACGACTACCTCCCCTCAATCAGGGCTCTGCAAGCCCCAGGGTTCTCTGAAGCCTGAAGAGCCAGGCCAGGAAGGGCCCCCAGGTCTGTGACCCCAGGAGGGGGGGCCCGCCTGTTACCTCATCCACCTGCCGTGCGTGACCAGGGACGTCTGATACTTCTGCACACACGTCTCCTGGAACAGCTGCAGGAGCCTTTTGGCTAAACGACTAAAATTCACCCTGAAAAGAAAGGGACACTGAGGCACAGAGAGAAGCAGCTGGACTTGCCCACACTCATGCATAGCGTCCCTGTGTCTCCAGCAAGGAGACCTCCTCCAAGGGCTGGCATCCCCAGCGGGGCTATGTCTCCACACAAGGAGGGACTGAGGCTCACACACGTGAACTGGGGAGGTCACTGCACTGGGACACAGAACCCAGGGACAGAGAGGCATGGAAGGACCAGGGGATCTCAGGGAACAGACACACTCAAGCCCAGTCCTCACACAGAAGGCGAGATGGTTTCAGAGACTGAGAGGGGGAGAGAGAGTGCGTGAAGGTCAAGGGTGGGCGTGGAACTGGGGGAGTGAGTCTCCAAATAACCATTTAAATTAGGGAGGGCCTCCGGGAAGATGAGTGTCTAGGAAACAGAGGGGCAGAGAGGAGCACAGGGAAGGTCAGGAGCAGGAAGCAGGAAGCGGTAAATCAGGGAGGACAGTTAGGGAAAGAAATACTACACACGATCGTGTTCATGCTGGAAATAAATCCAGGGACTTCAAGCCCGCTTAGTAGAAAGCTCTGTCTGAGCCAGCTACCCAGTCTCCCTCCCCTGGCCCCAGATAACCCGCCCCAGACACACTCACCCGCTTTGCTTCTGCCCAGCTATGGCCTGGGAGCAGGACCCTTTGTCAAGCAGAGGATGGCTCGGCCCCGGGAACCCCCACCCTACTGCTCACCCACCTGCCACGGGCTACTCACTTATCCAGCTTGTGAATCTGCTCCTCGTTGTAGCCAAGCCCTGGAGGAAACAAGGAGGAATGATGTCACCTGTCCAGTCGGTCAACAAAACAGAATGCCACAAGGCTTAGGGACGACTGCAAGGATGCAGAGAGCTCAGCCGGCCCTGGGGAGCTCACAGTCCCGTGGAGCCAGGAAGGTGGAGAGATGAGTACTTGGGGAACACTTCAGGTGGAAAGTGGTGGATGAGGGGGCCTGGAAGGATATGTGGTCAGCCCCAGCCACTCATCCAACACCCCTCCCAGAGGTGGTTGCCTACAGCCTGCGGGTCCCATTCCCGACCATACAAGCTGCGGGCAAAACCAGCTGGGGGCTCTGGAGCCAGGAGCTGGATAAGCCAGGCCACCACCTTGCACCTCTCCTTCACCCTCCACCTCCCCTTCACGGACCAGCCACTTGTGCATGAAGTCCTGGTTCTGTCCCTTGGCCACTTCCGGAGGATGCTCACCAGCTAGGGAGATGCTGCCCCCTGCTGGGCTTGCAGGAAATGGCCTCCCAGCTAGAGGTTTCCCAGTTCCCAGCGGAACCCCCTCCCTGGGCATTTCATCTGGGGTCCTGCTCTCAGCCAGCTGAGCACAGAGCTGCAAGTCCCAGACTGGCTTCCGAGTGGCAGGAAGCTGCAGACTCGGGATTTCGCCGCACAGAATCGGCTTCCTCAGCCATCCCATGGGACACCCAGGACAGGTGCGAGGGGAGAGAGAAAACCAGGAAGCCTTTTGCAGAGCAGCGTTTTTCAGGAGTCCGGGGGTTAGCTGTCAAGGGTTATTCTCCCTTTCACGTTTAATCTTCATGAAGGACTCTTGCAACCAATAGGAACAAAACTGTGAGGCATAAGGGGTTAAACGCCCCCAGACCAGGACAGCTTGGGCTACTGCACCTCCTGGGGTCTCGGTTTCCTTATCTATAAACAGGGGAGGGGGATGCTGCCCAGAGTTCCTACAGGCATGAAATAAATGAGGATCCCAAACAGTGCAGAGGACGGTGTCGGATGCATGGGAGGGGCCCAGAAGGGGGGGAGGCTCGGAGGGCAGAGTCCGAGGGAGGGAGGCAGAAAAGCCCCTGAAGTTCTCCGAAAATCACAGCCAAACAGGCCAGTGGCGCATCAGGAATGGGAGAGTCTCTGTCCATCCATCCCCTCGCCCCACCCTGGGCTGCTCTCCCCTGGGCTGCTCTCCCCTTCCCCTCCCTGGCCAGACCCCAGAGGCAGCACTGAGGCTCCTGGGAACAGACGATCATCTAGAGAGATCTGTATGTCCAAGCCAGTGGCCACCAGACACATGTGGCTACTGAGCACCTTGCCGGTGACTAGCAAGCCTGAGGAAAATAATTTTTATCTTAATTTCATTAATTCAATTAACTAAAACTTTAAAGCTGGAGCAGTGAAAAATATTGTTTTACCAATGAACACAACCTTACTGCTTTGGTAAGAATGACCGTTCCGTCTGCTAAAAGATTAGCTTCCGGAGAAAGATGTGTTGTGAGTGTCAAATATACATAGGATTGGGAGGACTTAGCACACTCACAAAAAAGAAAAGAATGTAAACCATCTCTTTAATATAATTTAAAAAAATTGATTATATGTGGAAATGACAATTTGAATATATTGGGTTAAGTAAAACGTCTTACGAAAATTAGTTTCACCTGTTGGTTTCTACTTTTAAAATTTTCACTACAGGAGAACTCAAAGTTTGGTACATTGCCGGCATCCAGTTTCTAGGGGACAGCGCTCTTAGATAATCCTAGAGCTGGAGGAGAATTTGGCACTCGAGCCCAAGGCCTGCAGTCCACATGTCAGGAGAAGCTTGGAGGCATGGCCGGGGAAGAAGAGGGTTGGGTCCTCTTCTGTGAGCTCCTCAACCCCAAGAGTCAACTGGGGTCTCCCAGGACCAACCCCCTGCCCCAGCCTGCCCCTGGGTTCCAGCCTACCATGCCCCATGACGGCGGTCACTGTGGACAAGCAGCTGCCTGTTCCTAAGCCTGGAAATGAGCTGCCTGTGCCCCCGGAGGTCCCCTGTGAGGACAAGCAGAGAGTGCCGGGGAAGGAGCAGGCCAGTGACTACAGGATATGTCTTCAGACCCTCCCTCATTTGGAAATCCTGGCTATTTCGATGAGCCAAAGACACAATGGCTCGGGAAACATTCCTCAAACTGTAAAGTGCTCTGCAGAGGTGAGGGCTCTCTTCCAAGGGCCACCTCTCCTAGCACAGCCAGGCTCCGGCCATCTGAGCCCCCCAGGCATGCCGTCCACGCCTTTCACAGGGCAACAGTCATAGGCCTCCTGTCCCTCACTGTCCGCAGGCAGCTTAGAGGCGGGGACCCTGCCCTAGGCCAGGGGCACCCCAGCAGCCGCATGCTGGGCCCCCAGCAGCCACAGGGATGGCATGGAACAGCCGGATAAGCAGAGGGCAGGAAGGAGGAAGGGAGGGAAGCAGGGGTAGTTTGCTCTCCCCACGGCTCACCTGGCCTCATTCTGGATTTCTTGAACTGTTTGTAGATGAGGTTCATCTTGTCCAAACAATACTGAATCTGCTGGATGCTGTGGGCAGGAGATGGGGACCAGGCAAGGGGAGAATCAAACAGCACAGAGTAAAAGGGAAGGGAGGGGATGACATGGCTGGGCAGGGAGAGGGTTGGTGGGCCGAGGGAGCAGAGGAGCTGTCCGCCTGCAGAAGGAGCCTCATCACCACAGTCTGGGGGGCCAGTCTGGGAGTGGGGGTGACTCTCCTGTCCCTAAGCTTGTTTGAGGTGCCATGGGGCCAGCCAGCCACCTCTGAGTCACATGTTTATTCTTTCTCTCTGTCTCTCTCTCTCTCACACATTCGAGGTATTTCATCAAAGACCAGAAAGCCAAGCAGGAGAGGCCACAGGAGGATGGCCTTTGCTACACTGGAAGGTTTGAGAACAGAATCCAGGCAGGAGTCTGGACCCTGCGAGTCCGCAGGGCCCGCTGAGGACAGCAGTGCAGCAGAAGCCTTTCTCCTGGTGGCCTGGGGAGAGCAGAAGTCGGGGCCTCATGGTCTATCCCACACCTGGCACATGGAAGGTGCTTAAATCATGAACCGACAACCCCTGTTTAAAACACAGGTGAGGGCGCCTGGGGGGCTCTGTTGGTTCAGTGTCTGCCTTTGACTCAGGTCCTGATCCCAGGGTGCTGGGATCGAGCCCTGAGTCAGGCTCCCTGCTCAGTGGAGAGCCTCCTTCTCCCTCTCCTGCTCCCTCTGCTTGTGCTCATTCTCTCTCTCTCTCTGTTAAATAAATACATAAAATCTTTAAAAAATAAAATAAAATGAAATAAAACACGGATGAGTCCACAGTCCTCAGTCCTCAGTCCTGCCTGGAGGCAGACGGATGTGCGAGATGACCTCTCAAGGACCTTCACCTGCTGGGGTTTAAGGTCAGTAGTGTTTCTTCCTTTCCCTTTTTGGGCTGGATACAGACAGTTGAGATGTTGAATGTGTGTGTCTCTGGGGGGAGGGGGTGTTCTTCCCCACCCTTGGGCCTGTTTAGCTCCACTTCCCTCCTGAAGCTCTTCCCAGTGACCCCATCTCAGCTACTTCTGGAGCTGGACTTTGGGCTGGGCCCAAGCTGGGTCCCAGGCACCCATCCTTTGGAGAACTTGGGGTGGATGAGACCTCAAATCCAGTCTTTTTCCAAAAGACTCAGGCCAGATACATCCCAAATTCAGAATTGTCTTCTGATTCTAGAAAGGCAATCCAGCAGACATAGGTTATGTTGTAGGACAGCCTGAGTGGGGTCTGGGGTCTGGGTCTGGGGTCCAATACCTTCAGCCTTTAAGGAACAGTAAGAGTATCCACTCTAAGAGGGAAACACAGACTAAAAGAAGACTCACAGCAGAAGACTGAGGCCAGGGTTTGCAGCTAAAACAAACAAACAAAACCCCACAGTTTTCAGAGCTCTTTGATTTCGGATCTGGGGGACCGGGTTAGGGATCCCCGTCAGCACTGAGCGGAATGGGTACCCAGAAGAATGGGCTGCGTGGTCAGGGCAGGGCCCGCACACCAGGCTGTAAGGGGGCGGGCAGCCATTCTTATATATGTTGAATGAGGCTCTCGAAGCTGTAAATCCCTGGTGTAGGCCAAGAACATAGGCCTTGGAGGTGGGCAAATGTGACGTCAAGTCCCACCACTGTCATTTGTCATAGACCGTCTGTGTCCCAGAGCACATTAAACTCCCAGAGTGAGCTTCCCCATCCACAAAAGGGGCATACTATCAGCAGTGGCATCCTAGGGATTAAATAAGATGATAGAAGTAGGAGGGCCAATCCAGGGAATGAGCAGAGCAAGTGTTCAGAAGAGGAAGGGAACAAAATTATTCTTTTGTTTAGAACTATTGCACCTGCTAGGATTTCTAATTCTCTCTCTAAACGCCCAGAAGGGGGCAGGACCCCAGATGCTTTTCTCCATAGGGGAGGGTCTTACTCATTCTTGGATCCCACACCACTACCCCATACCCCAGCACCCTGGCCAAGATAAGGGAGAAAGCAGACTGATGCCTATAACAGCTGCCGGACCTTCCGCGCTGTGCGTCCCTGTGCCCACCCCACCAAGAAGGAAAATCCCACAGACCTTCTGTCCGCATGTACCTGATCCCGGTTCTTCAGCAGCTCAGACCTTAGGTTGCTCAGGTTTGTCTGGGACTCTGTGATACTGTGGGAACATCTGGAGAGGGCCTCTGCCAACTGGAGGACAGAAAAAAGGGCAGACCCCCCGGGGGTCCTCAGCTTAGTGTTCTGATAGCAGCCCCGCTGGACCACGGCCCCCCAGCTCTGCTCTTACAGCCCCCCACGCCCGCCTCACTCACAGCCCGCAGCCTGGACCTCAGCTCCGTGACCTTCTTCAGCTCCTGCATCTCAGTCATCCCAGCCACACTGCTGAACCTCAGGGAAGGACAAAGAAAGGACACGGCTGGGGGGTTGGGAGGCAGAACCCCATGACCACAGGAGGGGTATGACATCTTTGCGACAGCCTTGCTGCCTTCGGGGTTATCTGGGAAGTACTGCGGTTGGGTCGGAGAAACCAACCTCAAGGGGCCCCGACTCACCAAAGTTGCACCTTTGTGGAGCACTGCAGAGACTAAAGATGGGGGTAGATGGAAACAACGTGAAGCTATGAACATCCATGAGTCCGTACGGCGAGGCGGCCGTTACGGACCCCTTACTAGGAATATTTATAACTAAAGGAAAAGACCCAAGTGCCTTCCCAGTTGAAACTATACATCAGGATAAGCGATAGCTTCCTAATGAGGGAAAAGATGTATTTCCTAGAATATTACCAAAAATGCTCTGGGACCCAGACTGTTAGCATCCCACGGCCCCAGCAAAGTTACCCGCTTGGGCATGATGCCAAATCCCTGGTGACTAATGCAGGCCTGGACAGGGAAAATGTGACCACGCGATCGAGGAATCAGCTGTCCCCACCCAGGGGCGGGAGGGAACGAAGTGTACTTGTGTCATCTCCGATGTTTTTAGCCAAAAAACATTCCACTTGAATCCATCTAGCCTTCAGGACTCTCAGTTTATAAGAAATGCTGGGAAGGAAGAAAAAAAAAACCCAGAGGGTTTAGAGGAATCCCTAGAGTCCAGAAAGTGGGACAACGGGCATTGTCTCCCCAAAACGCCAGAATGGGGAGAGGCAGTCTGTCAAGATTAAAATAGACTTAAGGAACGAAACAACTGGATGCAAAGTGTGGTCTTGCATTGGAGTCTGGTTTGGTTAAACCAGTGAGAAAAGGAAAGGAGGGAGCTAGTAAGAGAACTTTGTGTATGGCTGATTTTAGAGGAGATGACAAGGTACGGACATGAGGCTGGAGGGCTCATGTGCTGAGAACAGCAGGTTAGAAGAGCACAAGTACCATCAGATCTCATGTCCGTCAATGTATATGCTCAAATACACATCGCCGAAAACTACCTAGAACGTCTATTACTACCGTGTCATGACCTAGCTCTGGGTGGCAAGGACATGGTATTTTTTATTTCGTTTTTGCCTATCTGTCTGTATTTTCCAGCTTTCTACAATTAGCATATACTATTTCTATCACAACCATGATCGGGGAAAGAATCCTCTGTGCTTGGGCTTGGGAGTAGTGTTGGCGCAGGGGGAGGTGAAGGCGAGAGGAGGGGGGAGAATCAGGACTACGGGGGAAGCTCCATGAAGGCAGGAGTTCACCATTATATCCTCAGTAGCTCGCAAAGTGTTCAGCACACGGTACTTCCTCCATACATGGTTGTTGAATGAATTAGTGAACGTACAAATGGATTTTAGTGCATGCAATGCTTGGTTGGCAGAAGCGGCTGAAGCTGACTAGTCCGGCTGGGCAGGGAGGCCAGGGACATGGGTCTGAGCGCCAGTCCTAGCTGCCCCCTCGCCCGTCTTGCAGGATCTGGTGTCAGTCACTTCAGCTCTGCCAGACTCAGACCTTTGTGTACATAACAGAGATGAATCTCCGTATTTGTGGGCATCAAAGAGGACCTCAGAGCTAAGGCGCTTGGCTAGAGAGTATGGACACACACTTGGTGGCGGTGGGGGAGGCATGGGGGTTCCTGAGCCAGTCCCGGCTGCCTATACACTGCCACCACATGCTGCGAGGACCAGGGAGCTTCAGAACAGAGGCGAAGACACTCTGCCAAGGGAGCCTGGCTTGGGGAGCCTGAAGCAGGAGGAGGGCGCTATGGGAGAGGTGAGTCATCAGGCTGGGCAATGGCAGCCACTTTATGCCTGTGTTCATTAAATTATCTCAGATTCCAGAATCGACATGTCTGAGGATGTTCAAAAAAGGAAGGAATTGCAAAGTGTCGGAGGCAGGAAGCCTCAGAGATCATCCAGTTCTCTCATTTTGAAAACGAGGAAATAGTGGCTCAGGTTGGGAGAGAGAACAGTGGCCTGAGGTCCCAAGTGAAGAGCTCAGCTCTGTGCTCCTCCTTGGCAGGAGGGAGGCTGAACTATGCTTCAAAGCAGGCCCTCCTCTGAGCCCAAGCTCTCTAGATATACTATCCCTCCAGGGGGGCCTGGGATCCAGAAAGGGAAAAACAGTGGCCAGCAGACCCAGGACTCCAGCCCCAGGGCTGGCCTGTCCCTTCCCCACTGTCCTCAGTCCAGGGAAAATGGGCAGACAAACATCCCAAATGCTTTCTCGACACACATTTTTCCTGTTCAAGAACCTACAGTAGAACTTAGAACTCCGCTGGTCCTCTTATCGGGTTCAATCTACCAACTAGACTGGCCAGGACCTCCATGCGTTCTCTCCTCCCCTTTCCATCCCTCTGTCCCACTCTACCTTCACTCTGGGATATTTTCCATTTTAACTGTGGCTTCAACAGACCTCACCGGAACCCCTCTTACAATCTCCCCAGTCATGGCCTCCTTTTCTGTCTCTGCACAGGACCTCCCAACTCGAGGTCTTCTCTTTCACTGTGGCCTTAAAAGCGTCACCTCTTCCAGGAAGACCTCCAAGATTGCCTCTTCTTATCTCTAGTCTTCCTTTTCCCAACCATCCTATCATCTTTTGTGCCTGGAAGGACTATCTCCTCCAGGGGAATGTGGATGTTCTGCCACATCTATCCCTGGACCCCCTTTCTGTGCCCTGGACAGAGCTCCTCGCGAGAAGCCATGCTGTGCCCCTGCAGCACTTCATCTCTGTCACCATTTGAAGGAGGCTCAGCCAGGCCAGGGACTCTGCCCCTGTCATCTGGAGACTCTCCTCTGCCTCTTCCCACATCTCTGTCACCCCATCTGTCCCCTCCTTTTAGTGGCTGCTGCACTGCTGGGAAACTCCCAGGACCTTCCTAGGGAGAAGGTCAGGCGATGTGAAGAGAAGGGACATCAAGCACGTTCAGCACAGTCTCTGCTCCTCTACCACCCCTCGTCTCCTCCCAGTGGGGAAGGTTCCAGCCGCCATCAGCTTCCCTGAGCTGCAGAGCTACCTCCTCTCCCCTGTACCATGGCCCCTGCCTTCCAAGATTTGGGGCGTGGGGGGCTGTCCCCACGGCTCAGAAGTGCTATGGCCAATTGAGTCTTCCTGCTTCTCATCTCCAGACCCTCCAGCTTGGTTCCCTTCTCCCCAGTCTTTCCCTCTGTCTGGCCTGTCACACCTGATCAGTTTAAGTCAGATGAATGGCGGGCATGGAGCCCCGAGGAAGGGCCAGGAAAGATGAGGAAGGTGAGGACAGTGTAAGCGACAGTAGGAAGAGCGTGGAGGATGGGGCAGCCTGGATCCCCATCCCGTCAGGTCCGGGGGGCTGGGTGAGGCGAAGGGGACTTTCCTTAGAGCACTGCTCTGGGCCTTCCTACCTGCTGAGACAGTGTCCCTGTGGCCCCGTTCCCCCTGCGATGACTGGGTGGTGGAGGGGGGAGGGAGGTACAGTCACCAGGCAGGGGGTGGGGATGAGGGACAGGTAGGGCTGTCCTCTGTATTCTTGAACGGCAGGGCGGGTGGGAGGTCTGGGTAGGGGGAGGCGAGGGCCATTGTTGGAAATATTGGGGGTGAGGAACAGGCATATGGAAAAGGGCTAAGGGTCTGAGCCAGCCTCGCACTGGCCGCAGCCCCCCTGCCCCAGGCAAGACACCCACCTCTCAGTGCCCAGGCTGCTGCTGAGGAAGAGGAGGGCCATCCGCGTGACCTCCAGCGTCCGCCTGCACGTAGCCTGGAGTGTCTCCCTGCAAACGGGGGACTGAGTCGGGGTTCCCTTCTGCCAGGGGGCCCAGGGCACCGTGCCGGAGGGAACAGCCGCAGGGCTGCGTGGGAGAGGTCCACCCCGCCTGCCCTGCCCGTCCAGCCCTTCCAGCCCTCAGGGGTACTCACACACACCAGTACAGCCCCCGAAGCATGAGCTCCTGCCCGGCCAGCAGGGTCCGCGCCAGCCACAGGGCCTGGTAGCCAGCGCCCAGGACGCTCTGCGACACACAGGGGGCGGGGTTAGGAGTCCCGCTCCCGGCCTTGTGCGACCCCTCCCTGCACCCCCTCGGGCCCCCTCTCACCTTGGCGGTGGTGTAATCTGCCTGCAGGTCCACTTTGGGGAAGAACTTGGGGATGTCCTGAGCAGCTGCAGACAAAGACCCTGTCTGAGAGGGCTGCCTGTGTGACCTGGACGAACCCTAAGTTCACCTTTCCTTATTCCTTACTCACACCCCTCTCTCCCCGTCTTCCACCACCAGCTTCCCACCTTGCGCAGAGCGGCCCCCCAAGCCTACATAAATGCACGTTCTGTACTTTACAACTGCAGTCCCTCAGTGCCCCCTTGTGTCCTCTTTGGAGAACTACATACAGCCTCAGGCCCAAAGTCCCAGAAACAGCCAGAAAACGGGCTAAAACCACCCTCATACCCAGGAGTTTCAAGGTTAATCCCCCTTCCCAGCATTGGAGACCGAGAAGGAGGGAGAAGGGATGATACTTTTTCTAGAACTTGGAAGATAAAACTCTGGACCCCTGGCAAACTTCCCTTCTCTCTGGGCTCCTGCGTCCTCCAACCCAAACTATCCGAGGCTTTCCCACCCATCACAGAGATTGTGGAAATCCTCTTAAATCCAGATCTCCCCGTTTTGGTTGGAGTTTCTTTCCCAGCTCTGTGGACACTGCGAAGCCTGAGTCACGTGGCATTTCAGAGGTGTGGGAGGATCAGAGGCCAGATCTGCTTCTGCACCCCGTGAGCCCCAAGATATGCCCACAAAAGATACTAATCAATATCCTGGATCATAAGCCCCTGCCCCTTATAGAATGTGAAAAGGAGAAAAGATCCAGCCTGTGGGCCCCACTCACGGTCCTTGAAGGCCAGCCCCTTGGGGGTCTCACTGGCTGTGCTGAACAGGGTCAGGGGGCTGCTTGCGGTCGTGTGGGCAATGTGTTGTGCTGACAAGTTGGGCTCAAGGACCCAGAAGTGACCCTCGAAGAGGAACTTCTGGTGTTGGGGGGCCACCCTGGTCTGCTCATACACGGCCTCCAGAAAGATGGCTATCCTAGACACACAAGGGGTTCCGGGGATGGGGGAGAAAAAGAGAGGACGGGAAGTGTCAGCAAGATATAGGGTCCAGGTGACCCAAACCCCATCTCAGTCTTCATCCACGGAGAGGGCTCAGCTTTGCCAAGGGAGGGACTGGGTTTTGCCTGTCTTATCAAGGGTGGAGAGACAAAGGTTAGAGCTCATGCCTTATTGGAGTGGATGAGGACAGAGTAGGAACCGAATGCAGGAGCCCCAGTACCCAGTCTCTGCCTTCGCAGCCCTTCCAGCAACACTCCCACTAAAATTCACCTAGAATTTTAGAGAAAAAGGGTCCTCTGAGCAATATATTTGGGAAACACGTCGCCAACACACACACACACACACGCACCCCCTCAGAAGCCTAATGCGTGTTGCATGGGGGGCGGGGGGCTTCTTCCTGCTGGAGTCCAGCAGCAGGAAGAATGGTTTAACTTTAAATTTGTGCAACTAGTATTTTCCAAACTAAGGTCGGACCCGGATGCTTTTCTCTCTAAAGAGCCCACAGAGCACTGCCTAAGACGCACCCTTCTGCCTGGGTAGGGAAGGCTCTCACGCATGGGCCCCTGGCTCCCGCGCACTCACGTGTTGTGGGCGTGGATGTAGACGTGGTGCAGGACCGCCTGGGACAGGGAGAACACGTGCACGACGACTCGCTGCAGGATGTCGCTGGTCTCCGCGAAGAACTGGTCGAAGCCCCAGCACTTGGCCTGCTCCACCTCCAAGATGTTGGCCAGGATGGGCACCAGCTGGCTCTGCAGCCCCCTGGACCCCAGGACGCAGAGATGGTCAGGCACCAGGGCCCAGACTCATCCTCTCTGAGTGGGTCGGGGGCGTCACATGACCATGTCTTAAAGAGCTTGGACCCAGGCGGTGGGTCAGGGCCGGATGGGGAGGGAGAGCTGGATGAACTCGTTCCAGCATCCGGATAGGAAGACTGAGGCCTGACTGGGAACGTGGTCTACCGGAGCCGACCGGGCACAAGGGGCCCTCTGAGGTAGGGCCCGACTCTGGCGGGGGACAAGGAAGCCAGCCCAGACTCGGGTCTGTGTCTACTCACAAGGACAGTCGGCAGGTGACGGGGAGGGTGTAGCTCCACTCCAGGGGCCCGTTCTCCTCCTTCTGAGTGCCCGCGATGGCCCCGGCTGGCTTCTCCGTGGTAATCCGATACCTGGGCCGAGGTGGGACCTGGTCAGCGGGACCCCTGGCCCATCACATCTCAAGGGATGGCAAACTCAGCACGGAGGGCTCTCAAAGCACTGGTTCACACCAACCAGCCCCTCCCCATTAGCCTGGAAATATCAAGCTTTCTGCTCCTTCCACGGCCCACTTTCTCTGCCCCTTCCTGCACCTCCCCTAGGCTGGCCTGCCCTGCACCTGTGCCCTCACTGTGCCTCACTCCACTAACCCTCCCCTCCCTGCAAAGTCCAGCCTTCCCTGCCAGCTTCTGCCTTGTCTGTCTCCTTCCCCTTCCCCTAACCTAATCCAGGCTCCACACAGCCGGACTCCTGAGCTGAGGGTGAGGGTTTCGACCGTCCCACAATCCACCTTCCACCTTCCCTGCTCTGGGCCGTGCCCTTGGTGGGAGTAGCCACCGTCCCCAACTACCTCTGGACCAGAACGCAGGAAAGCTGGGAAGCCTTCGCACCTGGGATCAGGAGGCTGGGTCCTCGTCCCGTTCCCCACCCCTGTCCCTGGCAGGCTCTGCCATCTTGGGCAGGTCCCTTTTAGAGCCTCAACCAACTTGGGTGGGCCACAAGCGCACGAAGGGAGCGCTAACAGGACTCCCTGAGCTAAGATAAAGGACTGATCTCCCACCAGTCAGGGCAGGCCTCAGCTTCTTGTGTGACTGGTTGATGATGGAGATGGCCCCGAGGAGGACCACAGAGGGAGCGGAGGAAGCAGACACACAGCAGGGACATGTGGGGAAGGCCCAGGGTCTGACCTGTCTCCCGCCTTGCCTGGGGCCCACTGTATACATACATCATCTCCTTGTTGCGCCGTGGCCCCCCAAAGGGGACGAAGGGCAGGCTGCCCGTGGCTGCATGGTACAGGGTGACCCCAATGCTCCAGAGATCCACAGTCACCCCGAATGTCTTCTGCTGGGGCTTGCGAAGCACGGCCCGCTCATACATGTCAGGGTGCTGCGGGAGAGAGAACCAGTGAGCAGCCACGGAGGGGGTGGGTAGGCACGGGCCCGAGCCTCACGCAGCAGACCTCCTTCCGCCACCTTCCAGGGAAAACAGAACGATCAGAACCAGCTCCTTCGTCACCTCAAAAACTGGTGTGGACTTAGCCCACCGAGTGTGTGTCTATCTGGCCACCCTCTGCCCTGGGGAAAGTAGTGACCAGTGGTGCTCCCTGCCGGGTGGGGATCGTAGCAAGGAATGAACTGCACAAGTGAGGCCCAGGCAGGGGGCCAGGCAGGGACACTGCAGCGGGGAGGCCCAGGCAGGCTGCAGCGTCATGCTTTCTATCTTGGAGAACAGATTACAATCTTCTGGTTGGGGGGCAGAGGGGACGTATGCCCTGCCACACGCAGGGGGATTGAACAGAGTCCCTTGGCCGGGGTCGGGGGGCGCCCTGGGAGAGTCACAAGTAGAGGGGCAACTAGCTGTCAGGGCAGGCCTCCAGCTTGGGCAGTGGGTCCCCAACCTCCCCCTCACCAGGTACTCCTCAGTGCCATAGACAGAGACGAACTTCTCATCGTCATCCAGCTCCCGGGCGGCCCCGAAGTCTGTCAGCTTGTAGATGCTCTGCCCCTCCTCCCCCAGGAGGCGCAGGATGTTTCCAGGCTTGATGTCTCGGTGGACGATGCCATTCTCCCGCAGGTGGTTCATGCCGGCCACTGCGGAGAGCGGGCTGCTAGCTCTCTGGACAGGGACAGCTTCGTGCCTGGGGCTTACTTTGGGCGGAAGGCTGTCCTTGGGTCCAGAGAGAGCATTCACATGGGCTGACAGGTCACAGGACATGCAGGAGAAGAGAGATGGGCACCGGACAAAGGAGGGGGTTCCCAAAGACATAGTGTGGAGGTTCCACTGGGATTCTCTAAGACATCAAGAGGGTCCATGACTCTGAATTCCCAAGGATGGCACCCCCCTTCCTGTCCGATTTATTTTTAAAAAGTGTAATAAATATATGGAGTGCCTGGGTGGCTCAGTCAGTTAAGCATCCGCCTTTGGCACAGACCGTGATCCCAGGGTCCTAGAATTGAGTCCCACATCGGGCTCCTTGCTCAGCGGGGAGCCTGCTTCTCCTTCTGCCTGCTGCTCCCCCCACTTGTGCTCTCTCTCTAATAAACAAAATCTAAAATTTTTAAATTTTTAAAAATTGTAATAAAGTAGACCTAACACAAAATCTACTATCTTAAGTGTGCCATTCAGTGGGTTAAGCACGTTCCCAGTGTGGTGTGACGGTCACTGCCGTCCACCTCCAGAACTCTGTCAATGCCCACAGAGGATCTCTACCTAGTAAGCAGTCACGCTCATGCCTCCATCCCCCCAGCCCCCGGCACGCACTGCTCTTCTTCCTGGCTCTGCGGATGTGACTGGGCGAGGCCCCACATGTGCGTGGAATCAGAGAGAACCTGTGACTTCACTGAGGGCAGAGCCTTCCTGGTTCACCCGCATGTAGTCTGGGTCAGAGATTCGTTCCTTTTGAAGGATGAAGAGTATTGCATTCTACGTATATATTCTATTTGTTCTCTCCATCTGCCTCTGACATTGGGTCATTTTCATCTCAGGGTTATTGTGAATAACACTGCCCCGAACCTGGTGTATGACCTGCTTTAAAAAAAAACTTTCTTGGGGCGCCTGGGTGGCTCAGTGGGTTGAGGCCTCTGCCTTCGGCCCAGGTCATGATCCCAGGGTCCTGGGATCAAGCCCCGCATTGGGCTCTCTGCTCAGTGGGGAGCCTGCTTCCTCCTCTCTCTCTGCCTGCCTCTCTGACTACTTGTGCTCTCTATCAAATAAATAAATAAATAATCTTAAAAAAAAAAAAAAAACTTTCTTTAAGCCAGGGTTTTAAACAAGTGATTAGCAGGAATCAGACGCATGGATTCCGTCCGTTCTCTGGTGTCTGTCCCATGTCCATGAATGCAGAGCCTCTGAGGGACAGAATGTCTTCAGCGTTTGGGTGATTGTTTCAGAAATGTCGGCCCCTCCGGGACTTGGCCTCCCACTGAGGGCAGGGTGTGCGGTGGGTCTGCCAGGGAAGGGGGCGTCCTGGTGGGGGCCAGGGAGGGGCTCACCCACACAGCGCAGCACCACCAGAAACTCCTCCTCAGGCAGCCCGAAGGCGTTCTCGGGGCTCTCGAGCACGCTGAGCAGGCTCCCGCTAGAGCAGTACTCCATCACCAGCACCTTATGCCGGCTGCCCCCCTGCGTGTGGGACAGAGAGAGGGAGGCTTGGGCTGGAAGGCACATCTCCTGCCCTTCCGTCATGATGGGAGGCACCGGCTTTGTCCAGAGGGGGTGACTCAGCCTAGAGCCAGCAGTCCCATTCTCGAGGTCCCAGCTTCTGGCCTGGCCTTCCTTCCTTATGGTCACCCCACACACCTGAGCCCAAGGTCACTTTCTCCAGGCAGCCCTCTTTGATCAGGCCCTCCTTCCCATCTTTACTTCCCCATGCGTTACCCCCCGCCCCCCATTCTGTCCTCCACGTTCCAGGTTGCTGCTCTGGCTGACCCTCTGATCACCATTATTATGTGACCTGCCTCTTCCCAGCCTGTGAAGGTCAAGGACAAGACCACCTCCCTCCGACCAAGCACTGGACCCACCGTCTCCTCCACCGCAAAGAGCCTGACGATGTTCTGGTGGTTCAGCTTCCGCAGGACCTCAAACTCCCTCACTTGAACTTCGCGGGGTCGCAGGTAGCTGGCCGTGTTGAAGACCTTCACGGCAACCAGCTCCCCAGATTTCTGCCGTGGGGGAGAACGTCAGTTCCCCCTCCGGCCCCAGGGAGCACACCTCCTCCCCGAGGCCTCCATGGAACGTCTCCCACCTGCCCAACACCAGACGTGAGCGAAGATGGCCTGGTTGGGGCTGGGGGCTCCCCCCTCAGCTCCTCCCTGCACTCAGAGGGAACAGGGGCTGGTCCAGCCCTGGGAGGGGCCAAGGACATGGGGCACCAGATGGTGCAGGTGCAGGGATGGCTTTGGTGTTCCTGTTATTCTACTGACAGTAACCACATAAGTGCCTATCGCCCCCTAGTGCTGCAGCGAAGCCAGGACGGGAACCTGTTCTGGCCCTGGCTCGGGAGAAAAGACTGTGCACCAGGTCTCACAGGACAGAGCTGTGACAAAGGCTAGGAAAATCCAAACGAGTCCCACTTCCCAGCTCTGCTATTCGTAGATTTGCTGCCCTCATCCCAGGTTGATGGCTTTGTGTCTTCCTCTCTCTCTCTCTCCAGCCCCAAACTGTGCCTGACAGAAGCGGCATTCCAAGGAGCCCTTCACAGCTCCCCACACCTCTTCCCAAAGCCTTAGCATCTCCCTCGCTCCAGAGTGAGCCTCCGCCTCACCACACACCACCCTTGCTGCCCACCAGGGGCTGAGAGGGCCAAGAACTTTCCGGGCCTGAGGGGCCTGGGCAGGGCTGTGTCCTACCTTGTTCCGGGCCTTGTACACGCTGGCAGTGGCCCCCTGCCCCAGCAGGTCGTCCGTGTGCCAGAGGTAATTGACGGTGCTCTGCATCTGGCTGGCCGGCCGCCCTGGGCCTAGAAAAACAACACACTGGGGTCTAGGATTCCATTCCTGACCTGGGGTGGACACAGGTGGCCTGACAGGGAGCTGCGTCCAAGACCATCCCACAAACGGTTCCAGTGTGGCCATTCCCAAGGTGAGGGGATGGAGGAAGTGTGAAGTGCAGAAAGGTTAAGAAACTTCTCCAACAAGAAGTGCGGCCACTGGGGCCCTCAGCCCACAGCCCGTGCCTGTCCTGCCACAGGGCACTCTACCTATCCTCACTCCCAGTCTTCTCCAACCCCTTCCCCAGAGGCCACTCTGCCAAGACAGACCTTTTTCTCTGTTACCTCTCCCAATCACAGAGGATTCTGGGTTTTTGGCATCCAGGCCTGGGATTGTCCCAGGAAGCAGAAATAGGGCTTGAAGGAAGGGCCCCAGGTCAGGCAGCGTCAACCACACCACCACAAATCTCCAGGATTGCAACACGAGCCTGGAGCCCTTCCCCACCCACTTGCCTGGGCCCACCACTTCCTGCTGCTGTGAGCGAACAGCTGCACGGGTGGCCAGTGTGGCCAGGTCAGCGCTGCTCTGGAAAGGATCGCACACGGTGTCGCAGGGAGTGTGCGTGTGTGTACGTGTGTGTGTGAGAGAGTGTGTGTGTGAGTGTGTGCGAGATAGTGTGCCTGTGTCTGAATGTGTGTGTGCATGAGTGTATGTGTGAGTATGTGAGAGAGTGTGAACATGTGCGTGTGCCGGCGAGTGCCTGTGGAAGGCGTTGGGGGGGGCAGGACACTATCAAATCCAAGCGCCCAGGAACCCCGGGGGGAGAGCCTGAAACCTCTACAACTCCACTCTCCATCTTTGCCCCCATCCTCTTCTCCCCAAAGGCCAGTTCTGCTAAAGCAACTGGCTCCGGAGAGTGTAGCCCTGGAAAGTAAACTCAAATCCTCTCTGAAAAATAGGGTCAGGGCTGGTCTTAATGGGATGACTGGGAGAAGGAGCTTGAGAAGGGTGGCCGCCTCTCAAATGCGCTCCAGTAACATTGGACTAGGCTCTAACATCTGTCTGCTGGCATGGTCATCAAGGCATGGTCACCACACCTGGAACCCTACAGTTCCCTAGCTTTCTTTGAGCCTTCTTCCTGTAATCTTTTTTAAAATGCAGATCTTGAGAATGTCAATTCCTTGAGCCAGCAGCCACTTGAAGAGACTCCGAGGCTAAGTCCTAGTTTCAGAAAATGTATTCGTGTTTGCATTCTCCAGAAGCAGCTGAGATACAGAGAGACTCCCTAAAGATAATATAACAACTCATTTGAATGAGTTGATCAGATAAGTCCCCCACCCCCTCATCCCAGAGGCTGAGGAAGAATCATGATGCCAGCAGGCCTGGGGATGCGAAGCCTGGCAGGGAGACCTGAAATCAAGGCCAGGGAAGAGGTCCAGTCTGGGGAGCCCGCAGACAGCATAATCCATCAACTTCATAATCCTTCCCGGGGCTGGTGCTCCGGGCAGACCCTGGTGCTGGGGGCAGGGCGCAGTGGCAGACCCGGGAATGCACAGGATTGTGCAAAAGGCCCAGCCCTGGAAGGACCGCAGGTCCTGGGTGCAGCTCCTGGTCCTGCCAGGGCCTTGCCTAGGAGCTGGAGGGGGGCACGTTGGGTGGGTGCCCGGTGCAGGGAAGGCTGCTCTCCTTGGGGGTCGGCTGGCTGAAGAAGGGTGGGCATTGGGACCAGGGCACCCGCGGCCCCACCCACCGCCGCCACTCCTCCTCCCCCTCCCGGGGACTCTCCCTTGGCCTAACGCACTTACCCCGCGCTCCGAGCAGCCGCGGATCAGGCAGAGACTCTCCCGGGAGAGTGTCTGTTATGCTTTCTGTCTGTGGCAAGTCCAGGAGCTGAGCTACACCGGAAAGAGAAGGGCGGAGAGGCACCCCTCGGTGCTGTTTGATGGTGCGGTGTGCTTCTCAGGCTCGGTCGGAGGCCACCGGCCCCAGCCCTTTAACCCTTTCCTGTCTGTCACCCTCCCCCAGCGCTGGGGGGTTTCCATCTCCCCAGAGGCTCCGGGAGACTTTCCTCCCCACTCCCCGGGCCTGGCGCCGGGGACAAAGACCCCAGGTGGGGTGAGGGCAGTCCTCCCCGCCCCCGGAGCCGGGCAGGAGGAAAGGACGGAGGCAGAAGCTGGACATGACGGCAACCGCAGAAAAGGAGCGTGGTGGGCGGGTGGCCGCTCTCCTCCCTGCCACAGCCCTCCCCGCCTCTCTCCGTCGCAGCCCTCTGCAGGGATGACGACCGCAGGCGGCGCGCGGGGCACTGCCGGGGCCCCCAGAAGCGGCAGGGGGAGGCGCCGCGGGGCCGGGGGAGCTCCGGCTCCGCGCTCGCAGCCAGGCGCTCCGCGGAGCGCGGCCCCGCCGCCGCCCCACGCGGGCCGCCCCGATCCAGCCCCCGCTGCCCGCTGGGCACACTCACCCCATCTCCGCTGGGGGACTGGCAGGCTGGTGGGAGCGCGTGGCACCCGCCGAGCTTTTAGAGCTCACAGTCATCCACGGGCCGGGCGCACAGCATCCTGGAGGCCACGGCCCCAGGGACCCCGAGGCTGGGCCGGCCGGAGGGGCCGTGCCACCGCTGGAGCTGCGGGGGACGGGGGCTGCAGCAGAGGGTTTCCTTCCCGGCTCCCCGCGGGCAGGCACTGCTGGGCTCGGAGCCGGCTCCGCGCTCGCACACTTCCTGATTGCGTTCGTTCTCTCTCTTAAAGGGACAGAGGCCTCGGGGCGGTAGCCGCCACCCGACAGGAAGGCGAAAGGATGCTCTGAGTTCTCAAGTGGAGGTGACGGGACCAGAGTCCGAGCCACAGAGAGGCCGGGACCTGAGCCTGGGCGGCGGCGGCAGTGGCGTGCCCTTTGGGCATCTGCCCTCTCCGGGAGAAGGGAAGTCCAGGACTGGGCCCACAGTCAACCTAGCAGGTTGGGCAAGTTAACCTGGGAAGGCGGAGTTCCCACACCCCGGAGCCCCAGGGAGGTCCTGGACCTAGGCCTAGCCACTGCAGAAGTTGGGTCTGACTCTACCCAGGGAGCCTGAAGAGGCCCAGGAGTAAACCCTGGAACCCAAACTGTGCCCTCCTGGTGACCTTGAGCAGAGCCCACATCCCTTCCCGGTGTTTCTCATCCAAGGTTAGTAACCTTTACTCGTTGGTGCGGTGGATGACTTGGAACACTAAGTATGGAAACTCTAGGGAGACAGGAAAGAAAGCGTTTTGCAGACTTAGAAGGCACTGAGGCCCACACTCCTTTAGACATTTACCCGTGATCTTCAGAGACTGCTGGGGCTGGAACCCAGGTGTGCCAACTTCCCAGTCAGGACTCCACGCTCCACACCCAATGTCCCAGGAGAATGGAGAGGTTGGCCCTGTTCTGGTCAACTCTGAGATGGCGGTTGGATAAGAAATGGTTAAAACCAGGAAATTCCGTGTTTCTAGAGAATGTTGGAGGGACTTTCCCAGGGCAACACCTGGTGGTTTCCTCTGGCGGCCCCACCCCTAGCACAATGACACCAGAACAGGAGCTGGTGGAGGATTGCCTCGGTGCTCCGACGGATGTCTACCTGCTGATAACGGAGCCCGAGGCATTGCTGCTGGCAGACGGTGGGGCTCCGGGTGCCAGGGCCAGCAAAAGCTGTCCCTGACCCTCAGGCTCCCCATCCAGGATTCTCAGCTTCCCACCCACCCAGCGGAGAGAGAAGTGCACTTCCTTGGCACCCTCTGCTGAGCCGGGCCCAACCAAAGAGCTCACCCAGGGCACCTGCCCTCTGACCCTGTGATTCTGTTAGACTTGGGGACTGCCCGTTCTCATCCCAGTGTGACCTTCATGAGCAGAGCCCCCTGCTGGCCCACAAGGGACATGGACCTTTGATGAGAAACCGACCTTTGTTGTCTTAAGCCAGAGGTTAGCAACAGAACACAGACTCTCCCTAAAAGTCTCATTTTTCCCTGATGAACTTGCTCAGTCTTTACCAACACGCCTACTTTTCTCTCTCCAGCAAGCCCAGTCAGTCTTTCCCAGGATCTTAAGCACCCTCAAACACAACGAACGTGTGTCTAGCAGCTGCAGGGAAGCGGGCACTGTGTGCTGAGGACACGAGGGTAAGACCCAGGCTTCCCCCTAGAGCTAGGGTTCAGCCTGCGTGGTGAACGCTGTGGGAGGCATACTTCAGCTGGTGGTGACCTGAACCTGAAACAAGACTGTTGGGCGGGCAGAAAGGGCTACTTAAGATGGCGAAAATTCCCGCCACAAGACCTGAGCTGGGACAGGAGAACAAAGGCCCAAGCAGGAATCTGAGACCCCCGCCCTGGGCTCCTATGGACCAATGGGACCCCGACGAGCAGGCGAAATATCCGAATAAGGGAAACTTGCCAAAAGACCCCTGAGCTCCCCTCGAGACCCCTTAAAAGCCCCCTCCTCCCTGCCTTAGGTGCGACTTCCGCCACTCTGCTTTCCAGAGTCGCGGAACCTCGCCCGAGGGTGCCCACCTCCTCCCGGCGCAACTTTCCTGGCTCCCCTCCTCCTGAGCCCTGAAACTTCGCCGGAGAGTGCCTTTAATAAATCTTGCCTTGCACCCACTTTGCCTGGTGTTGTGTTTATCTCGCCGGAAAAACTTTACATTTGGTGCCGAAACCCGGGAAGGAGATTGAGCCCCCACCCCAGTGGGGAGGCTCTCTCCTTTCCCTAGCCGGACCCGGACCCGCCTTTCCTAACGCCACTTCTTAAGCCGTGGTGAGTTTCCCCCGATTCCGCGCCTCCTTCCGGAAAGCCCTGCCCTAATCGAGGCTGCGTCAGGGCGGACCCCGCAGGTCACCAGGTGACCTCCGTGACTCCGAGAGACTGGGAGACGTCCTAACCTCTACAGCAGTCGACACAGTTTTTCCGCAACCCAGTGGTGGATGAGGGGACACCTTCCTCCAGCCCTCGGGTTGCCTGGCAACGAATCGTGGGGACCTCCCAATCCAAATTCGACCCTAAAACATCCGGGGGGTGTTTTAGGCCTGTTGGCCAATCTTAAATCAGTCCCAGTGGCCTCCAGAAGGCACGTTTAATTATCAGACTCTCTTGGACCTAAATAACCTCGGCAGACACCTAGGCAGATGGGCCAAGGTCCCTTATGTCCAGGCTTTCTGGACTCTGCGCTCTCACCCCTCCCTCTGCTCTCACTGCTCCACTTCACAGGTCCTCTTCCCCAGCTCCCCTCCCCTTACCCTGCCACCCACTGCTCCCAAAGACCCGGACCTCTCCTCCCTGTCTCCCCTCTCTGAACCCCTGGAGAGCTTCACCCACCCACCGACTAGAGGGCCCCTGGTTCCTCTTCCTCCTCCTCCTTACCGCCATCCCTTACCCCAAGGTCCCTTAAGTTCAGGATTTCTGAACCGGCGCCCTCGTCTACCCCTCCCCCTCCTCCTCCCCACTCCTATCCGAACTCCTGACATAGTTATCCGCAGTAAATGTGAAACTTCAATCAAAGTTTACTGAAGGTCAAATAAGCTCTTGTTATTTGTTAAAATCTGTTAGCAAAGAAATGACTAAACTGATGGTTAATTGTCTGTCTCAAAGTTTTAATGGGTAATTGTTGAGATAGCTTTCAAAGTCTTTGGTAACCTGAAAGTTTAAAGTTTTGCTTGGATGACAAATGGAATTAAATTTGTTGGACATTTAGGTCTTTTCCAAAGAGGATAAAATGCCAAGTCATTGATTACTGAACATAGCTTTGTGCTTTTGACTTCTTACAGCAAAGAAAATAAGAATATTTAAATCTGTTAGTAAGCATGGTTTGTGCTTAACTGATTCATAAATTGGCATCTAAAGAATTCTGTTATAACTGTTCACAATTGATTAATAACTGACTACAGGTTAAGGTGTTTCTAAGAGTACAAAATTCTGCTAACTGTAAGACTGGTGGAAATAAAGGAAGCAACTCTGTATGAAGGAAAGTACAAGATAAGTAAGAAAGATTTAAGGAATGGGAGTACATTTTATTGAAAGTAAAAGGAGATAATTTTGTCCTAAATGAGATGGTTGTTTAGGACAAAACCTAAATGCAAAGGAAAGCTGTAGAAGGTTTGTGAAGGGAAATCATTCAGGAACCCAATGAAAACCCGGCCATGTTTCTTAACCGACTTACTGAGGCGCTGACTCAATACACTCGCCTAGACCAGGCCTCCTCCTGAGGGGCAACTGTTTTAGCTACCCACTTTATTTCTCATTCAGCCACCAACATTTGGAAAAAATTAAAGAAAGTGGAGGAGGGCCCTCAAACTCCCATTTCTGATCTGGTGAAAATGGCATTTAAAGTCTTTAACTCCCAAGAGGAGGCAGCAGAACTTAAGAGCCAAGCCAGACTCCAACAGAAGGTCCAACTGCAGACCCAAGCCCTGGTAGCAGCCCTGAGGCCGGCAGGTTCTGGGGTCAACAGAAGGGAGCACCTAACTGCGTCCCTCCAGGGGCCTGTTTCAAGTGTGGAGTCGAGGGACACTGGGCCCGTCAATGCCCCAATCCAAAAGCACCTACTAGGCTGTGCCCTCAATGCTGCATGATGGGCCACTGGAAATCGGACTGCCCCAGCCTCAGGGGATTCCCGGCGCCTCCACGTGGGGGAGACCCTGAGACGGTAAATCCTGCCTTCCAACTTCTTGGATTGGAGGATGACTGATGGAGCCCAGACTCAGACACCCCTCTCACCCATGCCGAGCCCAGGGTCACGCTCCAGGTAGCGGGTAAGTCCATTTCCTTTCTGCTGGACACTGGACATTCTGTTCTGCCTTCCTACTCAGGTCCTACTCCTCCCTCCCCAGTTGCAGTTATGGGAATTGATGGTACTTCCTCCACTCCAAAGGCCAGCCCACCCCTTACATGCAGCCTGGATGGGTTCCCCTTCTCACACTCCTTCCTCATTATCCCTTCCTGCCCCGTTCCCTTACTAGGCAGGGACATCCTCCACAAACTTCAGGCCACCATTCGTCTCTCTCCCTCTCCCTCGACTTCTGCTCACCTCGTCCTTCCTCTACTTCCCTATGACTCGCCCTCTATCCCGGACTGTCTTCCCTCTGTAGACCCGCAGGTATGGGACATTTCCAGACCTGTAGTAGCAACCCACCAGTGAGGACTTAAGCTCATCAGCGACCGCCTCCAGCAGCAGGGTCTCCTTATCCCCATTAACTCCCCAAGCAACTAGATGTCACCGCCCAGGGAGGGCAGCCCTGCCTCAGGGCCCTAGCGGCAGCTGCCTCTCTGACGAAGGAGGCCCTCAAACTTACCTTAGAATAGCCCATCAGGGTCTTCTCCCCCCATCAACTGATGGACTTAGCCACAAATCCTTGGCACAACTCACTCCTTCCAGTCTCCAACTCTACCACCTGCTGTTCATAGAAAACCCCCAGGTCACACTCTGTCTCCCCTCCCCTAAATCCCGCCACTCTTGCCGACACCTTCGTCTACCCCCACTCCTTCCCATTCCTGCTCTCAACTCCTGGAAGAACTCTCTCCCTCCCATCCAGGACTTTCAGACTGGTCGCTGCCTGACCCTGATCGCACTCTGTTCGTGGATGGGAGCTCCCTCATAGCTCCAGATGGACGGCCACACGCGGCCTATGCAGTGGTCACCCTGGACACTGTCATAGAAGCGGCGCCCCTTCCCATTGGGACTTCTTCTCAAAAGGCAGAACTCGTGGCTCTCACCAGGGCCCTTCACTTATCTGAGGGACAACGGGTCACTATTTATACTGACTCCAAATATGCTTTCCTTATTACTCACACTCACTCTGTCCTCTGGTGAGAAAAGGGATTTCTCACGACCAAGGGAACCCCCATAGTCAACGGGACTCTTATTGCCAAACTCCTAGAGGCTCTCAAGTACCCTACTGAGGTGGCTATTGTCCACTGCCATGGCCATCAGGCCTCCAAGGACCCCATCTCTGGGGAACAACAAGGCCAACTCTATTGCGTGACAGATGGCCTTAAACTCCTCTCCAGCCCCTCTCCTGTTTCTCAACTCCCCTCACAGTCCCTCGTACACTGATGAGGAGACTCGAGCCCTTAAAACATTAGGTGGCAGGTTGGATGACAAGGGATGGTATTTTGTCCAGGACAAAATTGCCCTCCTGAACAGCCTAATCCACACCCTCATTAATGACATCCACCAGTCTCTCTACATCGTCCAAAGGCCCGAGACCAACTTCTCCGACCTCTCTTTCACCACCCCCTACTCCAAAAGACCACTAAGGAGGTTCACCAGGCCTGCAGGACCTGGTCAGTGGTCGACGCCCAGGGCGGCCTCCGCAGACCGGGACCCACCCACCAGCTCTGCGGGCATCAGCCAGGCGAGGACTGGCAACTTGACTTCACTCACGTGCTCCGACACAAAACCTTTAGATACCTACTAACTCTTGTGGACACCTTCACAGGCTGGATCGAGGCATTCCCCACCACTAAGGAAGCAGCGGACGTGGTGGCTACAATACTCATCGAGCACATCATCCCGAGGTTCGGATTGCCCCGGACCCTCCAGTCAGACAACGGACCCACCTTCATCTCCAGTGTAACCCAACAGGTAGCTGAGAGCCTCAACATAACCTGGACACTTCACATCCCATACCACCCACAGTCATTGGGGAAGGTAAAGAAGGCCAACGGGCTGCTCAAAGCCCAACTCACCAAACTTACCCTAGAAACCCGCCTTTCCTGGCCCACACTTCTGCCCCTGGCTCTCACCAGACTCCGGGCTACACCCCGAGGGCCTTCGGGCTTAAGCCCATTCGAATTACTATACGGCTGGCCCTTTCTTATAAATCATAGCCTTCCGGCCATTTCCCTGCCTCTTTTATCCTATCTACCTTACCTCACTCTCCTCCGAGCTCTCTTAAGGGCCCACGCCGACGCTGTCATCCCAGCCCCAAGCGACCATGCTTCCGAAGGGGATATACGGGATCTATCTCCTGGGGACCAGGTCCTTCTCAAAGCTTGCGGCCAGGCTCCTTACAAACCCGGTGGACCGGGCCTCATACGGTCGTCCTTACCACCCCAACTGCTGCGAAACTGTTGGGGCACTCTGCATGGGTACGTATCAACAATCTCAAACGGGCACCCACAGATACTGATTGGACTTCCCAGATGGCAGGCCCCACCAAACTCCGCTTGGTTAGGGCCCCTTCTCATATTCCTTCTAATCCAGACAAACCAGGTGGAACCATGTGAGTCTAGCTGCACGAGGGGTTCAGGTACCTCTCGCTATTTTTCGGCCTTTACTTATATGCCTGCAACCTGCTACCAGGGAAAGGAACCAACAACCTGTACATATGACCAGAAAACCTATTGGGTCTCTGACCTCGTGACAGCCAAACGCGGTATTGCCCCCTGCAACATCTACCCCAGGTCTGGAAAAGTTTGCTGGACCTATCTGGGTCATGTCGGTCTCTCTGACGGGGGGGGGGGGGGGGGGGGGGGTGTCCAGGACCAGGCTAGCTGCGAACGCACTAAAACAGTGGTCACGGACCTGACTAAACGACTCCAAACCCCCAGTGACCCGGTCTATAAGGGCATCAATCTTGGTAGCATACAAAAAGTCCCTGCCACCGAACAACTGACAGTGGCCCTCCTGAACTCTAGTTACAACCTATGGCGAAATGTGTCGAAGAACGGTGACAGTGACTGCTGGATCTGTTTCCCTTTTTCAACACGTTCCAACATTGTAGGGGTACCCCTCCCTATTGACTGGCCACTCCCCAACTCCACGACCACAAATAATACGGTTCATATTGGCCCCATTGGGGGAAACATACCTATTATTAATGTGTCCTCCCCCCTTACCGCAGCTGCCAACATCACTAACTCCTCCATCCCGTACTGTACACCCTCGGGAATATTTCTCTTGTGCCCTCAGGGAACTTATCGCTGTCTGACCACTAATGACTCCCTAGGCTGTATATTCATTCTACTACCTCCTTCTACCACCATCTACTCTGAATCCCAGCTGCAATCCATCCTATTCCCCCAACACCGTGGAAGAAGGGCTGCCTTCCTCCCATTCATAATAGGGGCAGGAATAGCTACAGGGGTTGCAACCAGAACAGCGGGGATAGGAACTTCCATAGACTTTTATTACAAACTCTCCCAAGCCCTGAATGATGACATGGAACGGGTTGCTGACTCCCTCACAGCCCTACAGATGCAAGTTACCAGCCTGGTGGCCTTAGCTCTACAGAACCGACGGTCCTTAGACCTTCTGACCTCCGAAAAAGGGGGGACCTGCCTATACTTAAATGAAGAATGTTGTTACTTTGTTAACCAATCAGGTATAGTTACCTCCAGGATTAAAGAACTCAGGGATCGGATTCAAGCATGGAGACAAAACACGTCCTCCTGGGGCCTGGACCCCTACACCTGGGTAACCTGGCTGCTCCCTTTGGTGGGACCTGTATGCATAATCCTCCTTCTAGTCGCAGTTGCTCCTTGTCTTTTCCGATGCTTGCAGGGTCGCCTACAAGAACTTGCCCGAGTGTCCATCAATCAACTCCTCCTCCAGCCCTACTCTCGCCTGCCCACTTCCGACTACCCCTATGACGACGCCCCCCGTCAGCAGGAAGTAGCCAGAACTGAGTCAACGCCCCTGGCACCATTATATTAAGCAAAAGGTCGGAATGTTGGGCTGGCAGAAAGGGCTACTTAAGATGGCGAAAGTTCCCGCCACAAGACCTGAGCTGGGACAGGAGAACAAAGGCCCAAGCAGGAATCTGAGACCCCCGCCCCGGGCTCCTATGGACCAATGGGACCCCGACGAGCAGGCGAAATATCCGAATAAGGGAAACTTGCCAAAAGACCCCTGAGCTCCCCTTGAGACCCCTTAAAAGCCCCCTCCTCCCTGCCTTAGGCGCGACTTCCGCCACTCTGCTTTCCAGAGTCGCGGAACCTCGCCCGAGGGTGCCCACCTCCTCCCGGCGCAACTTTCCTGGCTCCCCTCCTCCTGAGCCCTGAAACTTCGCCGGAGAGTGCCTTTAATAAATCTTGCCTTGCACCCACTTTGCCTGGTGTTGTGTTTATCTCGCCGGAAAAACTTCACAAAGACGGGACAGCAGAGACGGGGTGGTCTCCAGGAGGGCTTGCCAGGAGAAAGCACGCTCAACCAGGCTTCGGAGGTGAGGGAGTGAGGCAGAGAATTGGGTGTCAGCAGTGAGGCATTCCAGGGGAACAGGTGCTGAGGGCCAGAGGTATGAGGAGAGGACCCACCAGGGATCAGGCTAGAGAAGCACGGGTTGGTGGCCTGAAGCCCTGTGTGGTGACAGATAAAGTTTCATTGGCCACCCTCCATGAGGTCACATCCTCTGTGTGGACACAATCTAGTCCCAGCTGGACAGCACAGCCCTTGTTTCATTGTGGGGCGACACAGGAGCCTGGCGGGCTCTTGAGGGGAAGAGGAAGCCTGGAAGAGGCCACAGCACATTTTCCTGAGTGGCTCTGAGAAGTCCTAGAAACAGAAGTGGCAATCCAAAGGCAGGACAAGGGCCAAAGGTGGGAGGAGCAGGTCTTTGATGGCAGCTCTTGGGGAGAAAGCTCACGTCCACCTTCTACAAAGCGAGGCCGCGTGTGTGGTGGGAAGGACAGGAACTGACCATTAGGTAGGTGGGAGTCCCCACTCTGCCCCTGCTCTGCATGACCTGCACCACCAGCCTTCCATCTGTGCTCTGCAAGTCCCCCTCTCCTACAAGTTCCTTTTTCCCAACCTACTGGGTCTTGACCTTGAGCTAGTCACCCGACCTTTCTCAGACAGTTGGTGTAAGAGCAAAATGAGATTCAGTACCCACTACCAGGTGTGCCCTGAACACATCCTTGTTGCTTCTCCTGTCCCTGCGTGGCTTGAGCCTGTCACAGCTGCCTCATGTGTCCGTGCCGCAAAGGAAAGAAGGGCGAGGGCGGGTGGGTGTGCTCCCCACGCTCCCCCATCGGTGAGGGGCTGAGAGACCAGGTCTCAGAGCCCTGTTTCTTGCCGCCTTCACCAGTCAGCTCTAGCCAGGAGCGTTGGGTGGGGAAGGAGGGACACACTCGGCAGCCAGACCTGGCACTGTTCCCCCAAGGACTGGGGATAGGAGCCACGGGAGCAGCCCGAGCCACTGAGGGAAACAACACAATGCCACCAAGCGTTTGTCTTTCTTGGTGTGGAAAAACACTTCCCTCATTCTCTTGACTCTCCAAGCCTCTGCCGTAAGTTTCACTGACATACAAGAAGCCATCGAAAGGGAACCCCATCATCTTCTCCCCCCACATCCCCTGCCTGCCTTGCCTCGCAGCTGCTTTCCCTCCACTGAGTCAGAAGCATCTCCTTCCGCCGCCATGGCCAGCCCTTCCATTTCTGTTCTGTGATTCACCCTCTCCAGCACATTCCTTCTTCCCATCCTACTGGCTCCTGTTCGTGAGCGAATATGCCTCAAGAGACCCATTTTATATAGGGGTGCCTGGATGGCTCAGTGGGTTAAAGCCTCTGCCTTCGGCTCAGGTCATGATCTCGGGGTCCTGGGATCGACTCTCTGCTTGGCAGGGAGCCTGCTTCCTCCTCTCTCTCTGCCTACTTGTGATCTCTGTCAAATAAATAAATAAAATCTTTTTTTAAAAAAAGAGAAACCCATTTTATTTATTTATTTATTTATTTATTTATTTATTTTTAAAAGATTTTATTTATTTGACACAGGGAGAGGGGGAACACAAGCAGGGGGAGGGGGAGAAGGAGAAGCAGGCTTCCTGCTGAGCAGGGAGCCTGATGCTGGGCTGGATCCCAGGATCCTGGGATCATGACCTGAGCCAAAGGCAGACGTCCAAGGATTAAATCACCCAGGTGCCCCAAGGCCCATCTAAAAAACAAACACCTGGCCCCTTGCTCCCTCCTGATACTCCCCATTCAAAACCGGGTCTTTGCATAAGCTGCCAGGACTTCCTGACTGCCCTGCAGTGGCCTCCCAACCCACTCCAATCCAACCCATTTCCCATATACTGAAAGCTCCACGTCACCAGAGAATGAGCATCTCTAGCTGGCCTCCTCTTACCCACTGGCACCAGACACCTGAGCTTCCCTCCTTCTTAGAACATCTTTCGGTTGGTGTCTGTGACAGTGTGCTTTCCCAGCACCTACCTGTCACCTCTCCCTCTGTCTGTGCTGGCTCCTTTCTCTCTACTGGATTTCTAATTACTGGGACCTTCTTTTTTTCCATTTACACATTCTTGCTGGGAATTTCATGGTTTGAATATATACATAATAAAAGAGATCCTGAATTTCTTTGCAGGTCTGATCTGTCCCTAAATCCCCATATTCAGTATTCAAGAGTCTATTTGATATTTCTATTTGGACATCTAGTCGTCATTTCTGCTTTACCGAATTCTTGATGAACTGCCCCCAGGCACTAAGAACCTATTATTACATTGTTTCACTTTCCAAGTCCCGTTTGGCTTATCTCTTCTCCCTCACACCAGAAAGCTCCATTATCTGTTTCTCCGGCTTCATATTGTACAACAGTGCTTGGCACACAGCGAGGCTTAGAGTTTGTTGACTGACTGATGAATGAGTCTTTGGCACATGCACTATGCCAGGGTGGCTAAGAGAATAAAAAGAAGCTTCTTGTATCTATTGAGAGAGACATTTAGAGTAGATACTCATTAAGGCCATTTCCTAAATTCAGATCCCCCTGATCTCCTTTTGGGGTTGCTATCTGGGTCTGTTTTCAACTGTGTTCATTGTTACTCACTTCCATCAAGCTCCCTTCTGAATATAGAACGTGAATTAGCGGACCCTCCATGGTAGCCCGCCCTTGCCTTTAGGCTCTCTGAAAAGACTCGTTGGTCCTCTGCCCACAGCTTATAAACCAGCTCCATCTGCCAGGTCAGCACCTACGCCCAGGGGTGGAGAACTCCCCCAGAGCACGGGGGGCAGGACAGCCTCACCTTTGACTTCTCCAAGACCAAGGGGCCAGCAATTGAAGCTCAAGATGGAGCTCTACTACTAAAATGAAGGAGGGGGAAGAGAGGACAGGTTGGAAAGGCATGAGACAGATGGAAGGGATGGACTTTAGGGCATGGAGTCTGGTCCGGGGCTTGGGGTAGGGTTCCTCGTTATCACCATTGAACACCGGGCGACCCCTTGGAGAGGAGAGATCTGATCCCAACCCGGGGCTTTTGGTATTGGAAAAAGCCCAGTAAAAATAAGCGTAAGCCCTCGGATGCATTATCAGTTGCTACCTTTGGATAGCTTCACCCTTGACCTTATGATCTGCTGGAATCAAAATCTAAAGGCAAGAAAGCATTTCCTATGTCTCCCCACCGCCCCCCACTCAACACCAACAAGCATAGAGCTCAGCTCTTCTCCCAGACGCGGGGGCATCCAAAGGCAGGATGACTCAGGGCTTGGCTTGTGGAAGAAAGACAACCTTCAGTCACCCTTGGTTG